TATATATATATATATATATATATATTCGAGCTGGCTCGCGAGCCTCACAAGCCGAGCTCTAGTATGCTCATGCTCAGCTCGTTTAATAATCGAGCCAATGAATTGGGCTCGAGCTTAATTGAAACTGAGCCAAACCGAGCTCGAACAGCTCGTAAAAAGCTCAGCTCGTTGCCACCCCTATTCAAAACGAAGTCAAATGAGAATTTGCATTTTTTTCATTTACACTCCCATGCATTTATACTAATGCAAATAAGATTGCACTGCAACTGCAACCTCCTTAAATTCAAAAAAAAAAAAAAAAGAAAGCCAATATGATCGTGAGTGAAGTAGTGAACAGCTTTATTTTCTCAGAGCTTGATTTTGGAGATTTCGGATAGCCTGGCTTTGCTCAGCCAATAAAAAAGACCTGATAGACGACCTGAATTATTTCAACGTTAGTCCGAGAGAAGAAGATGATGGAACCCAAGTTGATGGTTGTGGGCAACTGCATTCTGTCTGATGTTAATGATAACATCTTTGTACTCCTGCTATCAATCAATGGTGATTTTATCAGCGTCACCTCTGATCATAGTGGGAGGAAGTAGTGGTGTTAATTGAAGTAGATTTGGTCCAATCCGATCTGTTCTAATATGAGTCTATTACAAATGGATTAGGTTTTATGTCCAATATTCTGATCCGATGAATATTTTGGACCAATCCATTTTAATGTTAAGACTATTCAATCTATGCGAATTGGGTTTACTTTAGATTGGTTTCACCCCAAATTTGATCTATTGACACCTGTATTTTTATCTTTTAAAAATGGACCGGATATTGGTCCAATCCAACCAATTCAATATAAAACCCATTATGGATGGACCAGGTCCGATCCAATATATACTGATTTAATTTAATATGTCTTATTGGTCAGTTCAATCCATCCAAATTGATTTTGATTTGGATGGGTCCAACCCATTCACATCCCTTGGTGGAAGTTGTCACATCTTTCCTGTCAGCAATTTGGAGTATAATTTCCAATTTTCCTAGTTTTTGATACGTTTCTTTTGATTTATTTTATCCCACCAGCATCACTCAAGATTTTTTTTTTATTGTCTAAAATTAGGGATGGCAATAATGTGGGTTCAAGGAGGGTTTTATAAATTATAGATCCTATTCATCTCCTTAAACCTCCTAACCCGTGCCCTCCCCAAAATCCATAGCAAGTTGGATTTTCAGAATCCAATCCCTCCCCAACTCTACCCCCTGTGCATTTTTAGGGTGAGGTGGGTTGGATTGGCGGCTTGGGTCTAAAACCTGTATTTAATTTCTTATTATATATAAATAATAAATAAGTAAATTAGTATAGACAAAAATCAAGATTTCCAATTATTTGATTAAACATGTACAAAACACAAACTATCAATTATTCTTTACATAAAATTCAAAAATATTATCACATTCAACACTTAGTATCGGGAAATTGGGTTTAGCCTAATACCAGTACCTGCCCTGAAATCCATTTTTTAAAGAAAAAAAAACTCCCATTGAAGCGGATAGGGGCGGATTCTTGCCGAATAAAATAGAAATTGTCATCCCTATCTAAAATGGGATTTGTGCTTCTTTGTTTTGATTTTTCTTTTATTTCTAAGTTACAATGATTTGTATTTCATGTGTCTCTTCGGCTTGAAGCTGTGGTGGATTATGGATGACACAAAAGGTTGGGTTTTCTTTTGGGAAAGATATCCCATTGAGGCAGTTTCATATTCGCTATACTACCCTTACCCTGTCTTGTGGATCACAATGGTTTATCATACATGTTTGATGCGGTATAAACACCTGTTTTATTTTCCAATTAAGTTGATATGGATCCATGTTTCCTCTCATTATATCTTTTTGTTTTATTTTTTTTTCAAAGTTTGTGCCATTAATCTTAAATAAATTACAAGATAATGGGCAGTTTGATAATTTTACCACCCTAATGATTATTATAATTGATTTGTGTGGTTTGTGATAAAGGTATATTGATGAAAGTTTGAGGTATTTGATTATCACACTTAAAAATTCAAACCCTAGTGTCAATTCGGATTTCCTCCTCACAAATCTGATCCTTACACCCACCTCACAGTCAAGCAAGGGCTGTGATGTGAGGACCATTTTTTGTGAAGAAATCTGATCTCAGTGTCACTGGTCACTTCCCGTGACTATCCCTAGACTGGGTTTGGATTGGCCGAGCGCGCCAGCCCGTGGGGGAGCCAATGCGAATTCTGCTTAGAGAGAGACTGACCTAAAATGTAATTTTCCTTTTTTTTGTGAATATGATATTATTTTAATTTAATTGATATAATTAAAAAAAATAAAAGTCAGCCACGACAATCGGGGCTTGGGTTGGAGTTTGTACAGCAGTCAAACCGGTCCGCCCACTTGTCGGATCAATGTCGCGGTTCACTTACAACAACATTCGGGAAGAAAGAAGAAGATGATGATGCATTTCGTTCGGACATTTGCTTACCTTTCAAGCTTCCTTCCAAGGAGGGAAATGATGATAAGAGTCAAGAGGACTCACTCAATTCAAGTGAAGCTTTACGCCTTTACACCGATGATATGGAATCATCGTTTCACGCTTCCCATTTGCTTCAAGTCAAAGCCTTTTCCCATCCAAATCGGTCGATGTATCAGATGGTTCACGATCGTCCAGATCCTTAGCAAGGAATTGATTTATCGGGACCCACAGCCACCCAGCCACACCTCACAAGACGACTGAAAGTTTGACCGTTGGACGGTGCAAAATTTCTAGGTGATGGAAGTCGACGCCTCGAAGTCGGCTCAAAACTCCTTTCGAGATTCCCCTTTTAAAAAATATATATTAAAAAAAATCAAAAGCAAGAGCTACAGTGATCCAAACCACATCTTCTTTATTAGAATAGAAATAGATAAATAATAAAAATAAAAATCTTGAATCCACAGTTCCACACAGAGAGACGGAGAGAGAGGACGGCGGAGCTGAGGTCCTGAGGAGAACTACAGAACTACAGAGTACAGATGATTGTAATCTGTTACGACTGACGAGAGGTACTCTTCCCGCATGTATTCCTCATGTTTTATGCTCTTTTCCCTTTTTCCCTTTTTCTTAAACTTTTTTTTTTCAAAATTCTGCTTAAATTTTTAAGATTTATTTTGTGAAATTCAGATAACGGTATAAGCTACTCAATTCGACTTCACTATCGTGTTTCTGGTGAATCGGGGTAAGCTCATCTATTTGTTCTTTTCCTTTTCAACCATGTTATCTGTTTGAAGTTTAATCATCTATGTTGAATTGAGCTACTGCTTCCCTTTGACTTCGCTGAAACTTGCAATTCCTATTTCTTCTCTGTCGCTGGAATTCATGTTTGTCCTCTGATGGTGAGGAATTCGATGTTTCGAATTCAAAATTGTATGCGCGTGAACGTTTTTGGCGTTGAATTAGTTTCTTCGGGCATGTAATTGGCAGGATACACAGAAGATTGATTGTTGAAATAAATCAGAAGAGAATTATTGCCTGTTCTGATATTCGCATGGTTGGATTTGATGAAATTGATTGAACCGAAAGCATCCGTAATTCTGATTACGTAGTTTAAATTTTGATCAATACAAAAATTTAAATTTCCCTATGTAGTTAGGTTAACAGGGCTTTTAAGTATCTGAACTTGCAGATTGTGCAATATGTTTTTGATTTTTCATGTCCATAAAACGTACTTTTGGTGAAACGAATTGTTACACCAAATTGCGAGCATTTTTTATATTTACTTCTCATTCAATTCACCAGAGAAAATCTCTTAAAAAGTAAATTCTTTATGACGGATATACTTTTGACAGAGCTTGGAAAAACTACCTGTTTGTGAAGGAAGGTGTTAGAGTTCCTATACATTCTTGGGAGTCCCTTGATTCACAAACGAGTGTGTCCTGCAGAGAATAAACTTTGAAGAGCTCACGTATAACATCAATAGAATAAAGGAAATATATATTTACAACTTCTTATTCTTCATCAATGTGTTTCCTTCTTTTTCTCCCTTTATGCTCCCATGCAAATGTTAAGGACTGTTTGAATTTTGACAACAGCTGAAGTTGCTGAACTAAGTGATTTATTGCTTTGTGAATAAGTTATTGAGGAGGTAGTGAACTCCTTAATGACCAGAGCTGAAGTTGGGTTGATTACTAAATCCTAAGATATTATATTACTTAATTATTTTTATCCACTAAATACAAAACAATAAATCATTCAGTTCAGCCACTTCATCCATATAATTTTTATCATATGGAGTCTCAACATCACTATAAATTAGAGAATCATATGATGCATCTAAGATCTCACTGGATATGCTGGAAAAACTTTATTTTTTTATTATATTTTGGAAAGATCAGCAAGAATCTTTATTTCTTTATTCGTTGAGACTTACTAAAGCACCTTACCCTGAGGATAGCTTCTCTACTCTGATCTCCTAGAGGAAAGAGGGAGATAGGTAAACTTCATTCTATTAAACATCCCATGTATTATTTATGGCTGATTTGGGCTACACAACCAAATAGGGCTGTCAATGGGTCAGGTAGACCCGTCAGAGGGAGATAGGTAAACTTCATTCTATTAAACATCCCATGTATTATTTGTGGCTGATTTGGGCTACACAACCAAATAGGGCTGTCAATGGGTCAGGTAGACCCGTCAGAACTGAATCAACAGACTATTATATAGGGTCTGTCTCTGTATTATGTATCCTGATTAGAATTTGGAAAGGTTCTGGGTTTTGATATTACATCCTGAATGTCATGCAATGCATGGGGTTTAATAGAAATTTGGTAAGAGGTTTTGAAAAAGATTTTATGTGCATGCCAACTTGGGAAGATTTTTAGAAAAAAGTTATTAAATATCATTTAACAATTATCTTATAGTGTTTAAGTAATTAAGGCTATGTTTGGTTCTGTGGGCGTTTATTGGAGAAACTCTGCCACATCAGCGCCACTTAGACATTGGTGTTTATTGTGCATGAAACCACTGTTTGGTTTCAATGTTTATCAAATAAACATTAAAACACAGAAATGCTTGGATTTATGTGCATGAGCTGTTGGGGGAAACTTCAAATTCTGGTTTCTCCCAATGGCCCAATGTTTATTGAAATGCAATGCTGACTTGGTGCATTGTAAGCTGAGGTGGAAAATAAAGAATTTATCTGAGAAACAACAAAAAACGTGAAGTGACATTTTTCAATAAAGCATTTAACTGAGAAACACCCCATCTATAAATGCCCATGGAACCAAACACATACTAAAGATATGAGAAGTGAAATTAATTATTATATATAACTAATATTTATATTAAAATATATAACAAGCCAAGAAAAAAAATCCTTCCTCATAGATAGCCCTCCTTTAGTGTTTCCATTATAGTGGTATCCATTGTTACTATATAGCCAAAATAAAGATAAGAAGTGCAAAATATGAGCGAGAAGAATCTCAAACCTAAACAACCCAACCAGATCCAACCAAGTCCATCCTAATTTGTGCTGGGTTTAATTTAGTTGGGGTTTCAGTTAGCAAAATTGGGCTCAGATTGGCTCTTAACCTCACCCAATCTATTATACAACCATACTAAAAGATAAAATGTGCAAAACATGATCAGAAGACTCTCAAACCTGAACAGTCTTACCCAAGCCCATCCCAAGTTGTGTTAGTTTAACTTAGGTGGGTTTTAGTTGGCAAACTTGGGCTTTGACCACAGTTTAGGTTGGGGCTGGAGGTTCATGTCTAGGATTGGCCCTTAACTCAACCCGACCTATCTAAATTATATTCCTACTTTGCTAGAGAGAGTTACGAAGGATCTACTGATCTAGACTCTAGAGATATTTGAGAGGAGAGAATGGGGAGGGGAGAGGTTATAAACATTGACTATTGGGTCAGCTCTACCTAACCCAATAGTCAATGGGTCAGGTCTACCTGATAGAACCAAATTGACTGGACCAAATATGTTGGTTCTGGTTCTGGTTCTGGGGTTTGTATCCACTGTCGGGTCAGAACCGATTCTTACTGTTCTGACCTGACTGATCAAGACCAAAACCAGACCTGAAACAGGAAACATTGACATCTCTAGTTATGATGGGTTTTATAAGAGAGAACTAAGACTTGAATTCATTGTAATTTTTCATATTTTTAATTAAAAAAATAAATTACATTTGTGAGAAAGGAGAGGAGAAAGATGTCCATGTAAGAATTGAGGTGAGAGGCTCTCTGTGTATATATTAGCATATTACAAAGATACCCCAATCTAATACCTATCTTTATGTTCACGTCTCAATTTAACAAATGGGTAATTCTTTTGTAAGTTTACTGGTAAAAAGTATAGCTGTCAACTATAATCAGGTTTGTTAGGACCTAATAGTCCCAATTAATGATTGGGTTGGTTCTGGGTTTGTTATTACAGACACTATAGGTTCTGGTTTGGGACTGGTTTTGCACATTTATTTGTTGCTCTGGGACTGGATCTACCCTGAGCCTGACCCAACTGGACCCATTGACAGCAGTAGCAGCAAAATAGAGCTGTCAATGGTTCAGGTAGACTAGACCCGACAAAACCAAACCAACCAGACCCATTTTTATAGGGTCCAGGTCTGTGTTATATGTCCTGATTATAACTGGGATGTTCCGAACTGGTTAAGACCCAGACCAACTATATATGATCATATATAGTTGCATATGTGTATATTTACTTGGTGTAATGGCAAAATTTCGGGCTGGCAAGCATGAGAATGTGGGTTTGAGTCTGAGGACGGCCACTTAGTGTGAAAAAAATAAATACCAAAAGTTAGGACCATAACCAGTCTACCCCTCCCAAGACCTCAGATAGCTGGGACCAACATTGGGTGATTGCCTTTTTACATATATTAGCACATTACAAAGATACCCCAGTCTAATATCTATCTTTCTTGTAGTATACTTGTAATATTATAATATTATCATATCCACATTTCTCAATAACAAATGAGTAGTTTATTGTTAAGTAAAGGGTAAAAAGCATGGCTGTCAATTGTAATTGGGTCTTATAGGGTCAGACCCAATAATTCCAATTAATGATTGAGTTGGTTTTGGTTTGTTATTAAAGACCCAATAGGGTCTGGTTTGGGACTAGTCCTGCACATTTACTTATTGGTTCAGAACTGGTTCTACCCTGACCAAGATCAGACCCAGTCTATCAACAGCACTAGCAGCCAACTCAGAATTGGTTCAATCGGGCTCTATGTCTGGGTTTCTTTGGCCTGAGGCTTTATTTTTATGCTCCTGAGTTCACCATTGGAGCTTGGAGACAGGCACAGATGCTGTCATATCTATTTCAACAGATTTTGTTTTTGGTGGTTGGATGGATTTTAGCAGACATTGAATATTTCTGCAAAGGCTCCTTTTAGTCTTTCTTGTTAGTTAGTAAAAATGGGCTCCAGGAGGAAGTTTTCTGTCTTTTCTGCCTAAGTCTAGGCTAAAGAAACCATCAGTGGCTAGGCGTATCATAGGACAAGAATGCATATAGGATTACGTGTTCATCTTATTATCTATTGATAATGTCACGTTCTGTTATGGTATATTTAAAATATGAAAACAAAGCTTCTCTATTTTTTCATTCATAGTCATATAATATCATACCAATTGATGTACAAGGAATTTCTTACTTTGGATATATTATGTCCGACAAAATACCTTTTTGAACTAGTTAATGATTGAAAAAATATTTTATTTATTAAATATATAGGACTAAGCAATGGTTTAAACCCAACCCAGGGGCAGAACCAATTTCCATCTAGGTGGATGGGTCACTAGTTCAACCATCCAGTTGAACATCTGATGTCAAGACAATAAAAAGATTCAAAGAAAAAAGCAATATATAAAATTTGGTAATCCAATGAATGATTCAGACAAGTCAGTGGTTCAGTCTGGGCCAATGGATATTTTCCAAGTCAATTGTTTTTTTTTTTTTTTTTGTAATATGGCATGTTAGAGGTTGACTGGGTTGTTGGTCTAACCAGTGGATCAACTAAATGAACAAAATTTGGAATTCAATCTATATAATCTAAAAAAAAGTAATATGAAGAATTATTTAGAAATAGATATTTAAGGTGATTGGAATTGTTCAGGCATTAACTGAGTAAAAACTAACAAATGGAATTAAATTAAATACTCAATCCAACTTAGCCATAATCCCAATTAATGGAAACAAACGACGACTGAGCCATGGCTCAGTTAGTACGTTAGCTGGTTTGTACCAGTGGAGATGTGGATTCGAGTCCCGCTACCATCGACTTTGAAGGAGATTTATGTGTGATGCTGTGTTATTCTCAAAAAGAAAAAAGAATTGAGGCCCCTATGGCCTATGGGGGACCCAGCCATTTGTATAAATACCAAAAGAAATTAATGGAAACAAATAAAATGGTTTGTTAAATATATCTGAAAGCATGTGTCCCATGTAATGATGGATGTGCTTATTTACTATTACAAGTATGTAATAATCCCATTATTCTTATAGTCTCCAGATCTCTCTTTCTACTTTCAGATCACTAAATCAATAATTAGCAGCTTAGTATGTTATTTCTCTCCATCCCCTTTCAAGCATGCTTTGAAAGGGATTCATTCCTTACTGTTACTGCCATGTGCATTCCTTTTTCACCTTGTTTGCCTGGCCATACCTGCTCTATTTTGTTTGGAATATTTCCACCCTTAAACTTTTGTTCATACTTGGTGCTGATTGTTTCTTCATTCCAATTGACAAAACCAGTAAGGTTGTCATTGGAACATGGAGGATTTCAGGGGCAGAAATGGAATCAAAATCCATTACATAGGAAGCGCTTATAACATATCTCCTAAATTGTTCGACGCTCCCACTATCTATCATAGAGTGAAATGAACCTAGTTATTTTGTTCATTTTGCTTACTGGAAGAGCTTATAAGAGGGATTTTTCATGTAACTAACATAAGAACTAGAATAAATAAAAATGCTGACCCATTTTCCTTTTATCATGTAAGTTTGATGCCCGACTATATATTTGCTGTCCCATTTTATTTTGGTTTTTATTTTCTGATTGTGCAGTTACTATGGGTCTTCACCAAGGTTCAGCACTTAGCCTTTATCTATTTGCACTGTCATAGATAAATTGACTAAACATTTTCATGGGGAAGTTCCATGGTGCATGTTGTTTGTGGATGACATTGTTTTAATTGATGAAACCAATGAAAGATTAAATGCAAAATTAAGCTTATGGATAAATGCCTTAGAAACAAGAGGTTAGGACTAAAATAAAGTATATGACATGTAAATTTAGTAATAATAGGAGTGTAAATCAATGTGACCATTTCCAGTACTTTGGTTCAATAATTTATAGCAAGGAAGAGATTGAGGAGGATGTCACCTAAAGAATTAAAGCATGACGGGCAAAATGGATTAGTGCATCTGGACTTCTGTGTCATAGGTGAATACCACTTAGATTAAAAGGAAAATTCTATAAAATATTTGTAAGGCCAGCTATGTTGTATGGAGTGGAGTGTTGGGCAGTCAAGAAACAACATGTCCAGAAAATGAATGTGGCAGAAATGCAGATGCTAAGATGGGTGAATGGAAAAACTAGAAATGATTAGGATTAGGAACGAAGTTATCCATGGGAACCTAGGAATAGCTCCAATAGAGAGTAGACTAAGATGGTTTGGGCACGTGCATAGAAGATCAACAACTTCACCAGCTAGAAGAAGTGGTTTGTTACACATTGAAGTGGTTAGAAGAGCTTGGGGTAGACTAAAAAGGATATGGGTAGAGGTAGTAAGAAATGATTTAAGCACTAATAATTTAAGAATGGATATGGCTTTAAATAGAATGGATTGGCGAAACAGGATTAATGTAGAATGGATGACTATGATGATTTTCTGATTTTATGATTGTGAAATTCTTTAAAGAAATCAACTAGAAGTGTTTAATTACCTTTCCTTGTTAGTTTCTTTAAAGAAACTAATGTAATGCCCTATAATTACTGTTTGAATTCCAGGTATCCACTTGAGACTCTGAGAACTTGCTTGGAATGGAGGAAACAGAAAATGCTGAGAAAAAGTCTTGTCCTGAATCCTCTTTACCTGCTTCATCATCTAGCCAAGAAAATGGTCCTGTTGATTCTGAAGTGGCAACTACAACAATTGCTAATGAAAAAGTAGCAATTGGCCAAAAAAATGGTGTTACAGAAGATCCTAAAGTTGTAGTTGTACAAGATGCTTCTGATGGTCCAGCATCAGACCAGGATGGACTTCATACAATAGAGAGCCTAGAAAGTTTACAGCCTAAAGGTGAAGAAATGCTACCAGAGTCCTCAGAAGCTAATCTATTACCTTATTCATCCGATGTCTCAGAAGCACATCCAACTGATACAACAAAGCATCCTGATAATGTTTCCTCTGATAGCATTGATGCTGTTCAAGTTAATGCTGCACCAACACCATCTAATGGCTCCGTTGAAATAAGGAGCTCTGAAAATGATGATCATGTTCAGCAACTAGAAGAGCCTGTTCTATCCCAAATAGAGGATACAAGTGTTGCCCATAAAACACCAGAGTCCACTGATGTTTCTCAACATGTAAAACAGGTTGATGTATATAGAGGCCTTGTTGATACTGCAGCACCATTTGAGTCTGTTAAAGAAGCTGTTTCTAAATTTGGAGGAATTGTTGATTGGAAAGCCCATAGAATACAGACTTTGGAGGTATGAGGTTTCTCTATGTTTGTTTTTGTTGTTAACTTATTGTCGCATTTTCTTGCATGTAACAAAAAACAAGCTAATTAGGTTATTTGTGAATTATCTTTTTTGCTTTTCCATTTTATTAGAGAGAGAGAGAAATAAACCATCATATTGTTCAGCTCCATACAAAAACAAGTATACTAATTTTACTTCCTCTGTGGCCCTGATTATATCATGCTTGTTTTTGAGCTACAACTCCAAGTTTTTCCCCATTTCGTTGAGCTAAAATGAGGAGTTTGATTTCCTGTCCATTTGTCTGCAAATCATTGCGTCAAACTTTGATGTGTTTCACTTCTTATTTGAAACAGAACAAGGAATTTGATTTCCTTTGTGCTTCCTGAACATTTCCCAGTTTTGAATATGAAGAAATTTAAGTTTCTTTTTTGCGATCACAGAGGCGCAGGCTTGTAGAAAAAGAACTCGAGAAGGCAAAAGAAGAGATTCCTGAGTATAAGAAACAGGCAGATGCTGCTGAAGAAGCAAAGACTCAAGTACTGAAGGAGCTGGACAGTACCAAGAGACTCGTAGAGGAATTGAAGCTGAACCTGGAGAGAGCACAAACTGAAGAAGAGCAGGCAAAACAGGACTCTGAGCTTGCCAAGCTCAGGGTGGTAGAGATGGAACAAGGGATTGCAAATGAGGCAAGTGTTGCAGCAAAGGCACAGCTTGAGGTGGCAAAAGCCAGGTATGTAGACGCAATCAATGAGCTGAAATCTGTGAAATATGAATTGGAAGCACTAAAGAGGGAGTATGCGTCATTAGTTTCTGAAAAAGATATAGCTGTAAAGAAAGCAGAGGAAGCTGTTTCTGCATCCAAGGAAGTTGAGAAGACAGTGGAAGATCTGACTCTAGAACTGCTTGCGACAAAGGAATCTTTGGAATCTGCCCATGCTGCACATTTAGAAGCAGAGGAGCACAGAATTGGAGCAGCTTTGGTCAGAGAGCAAGATGCTCTTACTTGGGAGAAGGAACTGAAGCAGGCAGAAGATGAGCTACAGGCTCTGAATCAGCAACTTCTGTCTGCAAATAATCTCAAACCAAAACTAGATACAGCATCAACCTTGCTGCTGAATTTAAAAGCTGAATTAGCAGCTTACATGGAATCTAAGTTGAACCAGGAAGACATTGAGGAAGAGGGGAAGCCAAAAAAAGAGCAAGAAGATCCAAATAGGAAAACCCATATAGATTCACAATTGGCAATTGCTTCAACCAAGAAGGAACTTGAAGATGTGAGGCTTTGTATCGAGAAAGCGACAGCAGAAGTAAATTGTTTGAGGGTTGCTGCCATGTCACTTAAGTTGGAGCTTGAACAAGAAAAATCAGCACTTACCTCTATTCGACAGCAAGAAGGAATGGCATCTGTGACAGTTGCATCTCTTGAAGCTGAGCTGAATAGAACTAGGTCAGAAGTAGCCATAGTCCAGATGAGGGAAAAGGAAACCAGAGAGAAAATGGTTGAGTTGCCCAAGCAGCTACAGCAAGCAGCTCAAGAAGCAGATCAAGCCAAAGCACTTGCTCAATTAGCTCATGAAGAACTGAGAAAAGCAATGGAAGAAGCAGAGCAAGCCAAGGCTGGTGCAAGTACCATGGAGAGCAGAATTCGTGCAACTCAAAAAGAGATAGAGGCTGCCAAGGCATCAGAAAAGTTAGCACTGGCAGCAGTGAAAGCATTGCAGGAAAGTGAAACAGCTCATAGTACTCTGGACGAGGATGGTACTACTGGAGTGACACTTTCTTTGGAGGAATACTATGAACTTAGTAAGCGTGCCCATGAGGCTGAGGAGCAGGCCGACATGAAGGTGGCAGCTGCCATCTCTCAAATAGAGGTGGCTAAGCAATCTGAACTGAGAAACTTGGAAAAATTGGACATAACGAATAGGGAGATAGCTGCAGCAAAGGATGCTTTAGATGTTGCAAAGGAGAAGGCCGAAAAGGCAAGGCAAGGGAAGCTGGGCATAGAACAAGAGTTGAGAAACTGGAGAGCTGAGCATGAACAGCGGCGAAAAGCTGGTGATACTGTTCAAGGAGTCATAAACCCCTCTAGAAGCCCAAGGAGGAGCTTTGAGGTTAAGAAAGAAGCAAAGAGCTTTAACAGGGAACCAGATGCCACAATTCCTGTACATGTCCAAAGTCCCAAAGTGGTTACATCCAGAAACACCATGGAATATAATGCTTCTCCAGAGGTGAAGTTAGTAAAGAAGAAGAAGAAATCACTATTACCGCGTATTGTCACATTTTTGTCTAAGAAGGGACAGGTATCAAAGGCCATGTAACTTACATCATTGTCGGCACACATTTTTTTTCCTCATTGTTGTGTTTCTACTTGTTGGGGGGTTTTGAGCCAAGAAAGGCACCCAAATTGCTGGGATTCATCAACGCAGTTTGTACTGTATAGGCCAGTAAGAACTCCATGTATGATAAGTTCCATCTCTTCAGATTTCTGCTCCTTGTGGATTTCAGATTTGGTGGCTGTTAAGTAAAGTAATAAGTTTGTTCGGGCTTTTGTGGGGAGTAGGATTGATTGGGTTGAAGGGTAATAATTTGTGTTGAATTTTATAGGATTGCAATCTGGAAGAAACTCATATTTATGTATCATGTTTGAGCTTGTGAGAGTTGTGATTTAATGATGTTTATACAGTACTTCTACCTCAATCCTCAGTGAGAAACCAATGTCGTACAAATTCTCCAGTTGAAAATTTCTAATCAATCCTATTTTCCTTCATAGGAAAGAATGAGAGAGTTCTTTATTCACTTTATGAATGAATCCACCATGACCCTTATCTTTTAAGTTTTAAATAGATATCTGAAACTAGGTTTTTGAGATTGTTATTGGAGTTAGACTACCTGGCACCCTCGTTTTTTTTTTTTTTTTGATCAATAAACCTGGCACCCTCATGGTTAACATCTCTTTGTAAGATAAAGTTCTTTTTGTTTCTCCCTTCCGCCACCCTTTCTCTTCCATAAAATGCAGATGTTACTATAATGGCCTTAAGTGAATCACTGAAAAATTACAGATTATAATCTGTTTATAAAAAGTAACATGAATATAAATATTTGTACAATTTTGGGGGGGGGGGGGAGTGCTACTTATTTTCGTAAGTTAAAACACTTGGTAAGCAAGCAATCAATTGCATAGACAGATGGTCCCTCAGAAATATGACAGTCAGGGGGCGTTTTTTGGATTTTGAGAGGGGGAAGTTGGTTCCTATTGACCAATAACTCTATGTTCTTTTTCTAGATTTATGTAGAGATTAGAGAAAGTTTATTTTTTAAGGTATCACTTATGCGGGTAAGTGATATTCATCTCTTAGGTGGGTAAATAACTTTTTCGCCTAGAGAGAAAATTGCTAATACTTGAATGAAATAGAAATGTCCCTTTAATAATAGATTTTTATGGCTAAAATGATTATTACATTATTTATCTGAGAAATAAAAGAACATGGGTAAAATGCACTTGCCTAGTTAAGTATTTTCCAGAAAAATTTACCCAGATAATTATATTTACCCGGATAAATAACTTACTGAAAAACAAACGGGGCCTGATCAAAGGAAAGATAAATTATTTTCCCGTTGCACTTTATGAGTGTTCTCCACTGTTGGACAGCGGCCAGCGAGCATCATTCTGCGCCATTCTTCAAATTGGCAGCCTAAACTAGCAACTACCGAGTACCCTGCAGGGTTAAAACCGAGGAGATCAAATCAGCCCCCCAAGATTTATACTCAAAATCGAGAATCAAGATTGTAATGGAAGACATCAAAGGCCTTGATTTCGTTGTTTCAGCACAAGGCTAGCAAGTTTGGTTGGGTCTATCGCCATTCCTAGCCACCACCATCAATCAAATCAACTATCCCTACGATGCATTCAATGAAATTCCTTGTTTAAAATTTTAAATGTTCCTTTTGATGTCTGTCATGTACAAGGAGTAACTCTACTCACATAATCCTTCTTTGTTTGTAATATAAACAGAGAAGAACCAAGGCCAAGGCCTGTTCTCACGAATTTAAGATGTATTTCCTTTTCCTGGTTTTGTTACTTAGACAGTTACACTAGTGTAAGGAAATCTCCCCGTCGGGATTCGGGAGAGCCCAAAAGCCCCTTAGGCCTATATTTTAAACCCAGACTCAGCGTGTGGGCCAGGCTGGGCCTCGATCTAGTAAAGCCATTGCATACACCAGGTGCTAAACCCGGCCTGGGCTATGATTATCAGCATCCAATTTTTGTTTGATCCACCGTTAGAATCTCCAATTTATTTCAATTGCCCGATTAAATTTTTCGAATATTTTTGAAACATCCAAAAAAAAAAAAATTCGACTTTTACCCCGAGAGTCCTTATATTCACCGTTTAAACCTACCTGATATTTATCTGATGGCTCTGATCAACCCCCATTTACACTTTGACCCTAAGATCAGACACAATCATTAAACTCCGGATACATTAAAACAACTATCCATAAAGTTTTAACCTCAAATTCCCCCATTTGCATTTTCATCCAATCAAGACTACGTTCCAAAACATCTAGTTGACCTAAATTTCTACGATCTTGACCCTCAAAGACTAATTAGACATCACCATGAGATCCCAGACACCTCTAAATACCCACTTGTAAAATTTCAGCTCAAAACACTCTTGTTTGCTCTTCAACGACACAGAGATTTCATTTCGAGACTCTAAAATAACCAAATCGAGCCCTTTTCAGATTTGCCCAATCCGGGCTCAAGTCAATCCAACCCTAGCAATCAACCCAAATAACCCCACCCCACCATGTGAAATTGCAATAAAAAATACTCTATTTATCCATCCGTTCTAAAAAGATTTTATTTTGGCCAATCTTGCTAGTCCCATCTCACCCCTCCACTTTGTTTGGTAACCCCACCATACACACTCACTCTCCATATTCACATCTCACCCCTCCACTTTTTTTTACTCGGAATCACCCATCATCCGGTGTGACCCGTGGGCCGATTTTGACCCGAAGTTAAAAAATTACAGAAATACTCCTAAACTTCTCCAAAATTTGCCCCTATCCCTACCTATAAATTCAACCTAAAAGTTTTAGATGAAGGGGAATACACTATTCACTCTCCCCTTCATTCGAACACCGAACCAGCGGCGGAGCGACGGCAACGCCATCTCCGGCCTCCCTCTCCCTCTCCCACTCTCTTCTCCTTTTTCTTCTTCTTCCCCTTTCTCTCTCTTTCCCATTTCCGCCGCTGCAACAGCGGCGGTAAATCCCTCTCGTTTCCGGCCTCTCTCTATCTCCCTCTCTTCTTCTTCTTTTTCTACTAATCGCTCGAACCTCACTATTCGCGGCTACTGTTCATCGTCCTCTTAGATTGAACAGTGGCAGCGACTCCCCATCTTTGTTTTTATCGGAGTATTTTTTTCCATCGGACCCAACTTTCCGCCTCATTTCTCGTGCCCTCCCATGTTTCTCGCACTTGCCTGTCACTGCTGCTGTGACGATTTGGCTTCCTAACCTCTATCTCTCTCTCTTTATTTTCTCCATCTTCACCGTTTTCCATTCTCTTCCTTCTCCATCGAGCCAAAACATTAACCCGGGAACGTTTCTTATCTCATCGTTTCCATTCTCACCATTCGAACTAGAGGTCGGCAATCGAGCTGAACATCGTCGAACTGGATAGGAGTTTTCATTTAGAGGATAGTGTCACCTCGCCAAGCTCCCCGGTTGCAAACATCGTCGTTCAAAGTTGAGTAGGAAAGGCACCATCCCAATTCCCCCTTGTTGCAGCATCACACTTCAAACCGGAAACGTCTGAAACTCTGTTCATCGACTGTTCTCAGGCCGAAACATACCCAGGTAAGTCCTGTCATTACTCTGTAGTTATTCTCTGTTTTTCATTTTCCTTAGTTTATTTTCCTTTTATCTTTGCCGTGATTGGGACCTGGGGGGAGAAAGAAATGACAGAGCTGATTCACCAGCCAGTCCCTGTAAGTTCTCAGTACCCACCCAGTCCAACCGTGGTTTTCTCGTATTCTCTTTTCAACGGACGAATCTGATTTGAACTCTTCTTTGATGTTCCTTCTCTTAGTTTTCGATTTTTTTTTTCTTTTTCTTCTGTCATAATCATCATTTCATGTGTTTTTGTTTTCACCTGATTTGGGATTGACCTCCATATGAATAAAAAGCCATTGGACGTTGGATCTCTGTTCATCTTTTCATTTTAATCGGTTGATCATCACTTTTACTATGTTTGATAATGATCTTGATTTGTTTCTGCTATTTGTTTAGTCAGTGACAGATTTTATAATTGTTTAGGTCATCTGTGTTAAATATGATTTATGTGTTTAAGTAGTAGCTAGCTTCATGGAATCCATGCTAAGAGACATAATTTCTGGTTTATTGTTTAATTTGTCCAAGAATATGCACGTTTCCTACCGTAGTGAGGAATAGAAACAAGTAATAAAAGGATATATGATGAAAGCATAAATGAATAAGTAAATGGGGGTTTTTTGTTTCTTAGGTTGGTTTGTTATTGTTTCATCTTACTTGTTAGTGCATTTGTAGTTAACTGAAGTATTATTTGTTCATGCTTATGCTTGTTTGGAGACCCACGTGGACCTCACCTATTGGACCGGGGAGAGGGGTGCCTAACCCCTTCCTTCTCCTATCAAAGACCTATCCAGACTGGTTTACCCAGTGCCTTGGGTTTTGGAGTCATCATTAGACCAAAATATTTTTGAAAATCATTCTTGGAGGTCCCATCACCTCCAATTTCATTTACTTGATGGGTGGCGACTCCATTTCCAGTCCAAGTGAGCTGTTTTCCCGATGCTTACAATGATCAGCCCTAAGTAACCCTAATGGCCCTTATCGGCACCCATCACGGTCTCACGCTCTCAGTAAAACCGAAAAACAGGAGAAAGAGGGAAAACAAAGGAAGTCATTCAAGGTGCTGCATCGGCATCCCCCACAGATTTCAGGAGCAGTCATGAAGTCATTCAAGGTGGACGGTAGCACCCTCTCTCTCGCCCTCTTTACCGACGTCACCAACTCCAAGTAATCTCTGTACCTTTCTGTATGTTCTATAGTTTGTTTTCAGAAACCAACTGAGCATTTATTTTTCCGAGTAGCGGAGAAATGTAGAAATGATTGCTTTAAAAAAAATAATGCATGTTCTATGTGAATAAAAAAGAATTAAGAAACATGCACCCGCAGAGATTTAAAATTGAACATTCAACCCGGAGTTTCTTATAGCACCTCTCATTATGGTGTCTTTCTGTATGCTCATACAATTGGGATGGAAAGAATGGAGTAACTCGGTGTAAGGAACATGGTAGAGAAAAACACCCCTTACACCAAGATATCTAAGGTTGATGTTCCTTTTTTTTTTTTTTTGAAAAGGTAAAGTAAAATTGTATTAATCAAAATGAGAATACAAGTATATCTGCTCACTGTACAAACTTCTGTACAAATGAACAAAACTTTAAGAACTATAACCAGTATTGGAGTTCCATTTTCACCAAGGGCATGAACTATAAGCAGTATTGGAGTTTGGTCTCAGATCACAAATTCATTTATATGGGCCATGAAGTCTTCTTCTTCTTCTCCGTCTTCTTCTATTAATGTTTATAATGAATGGAGCTTCTCAAAAAAATAATAGCGCTTAATTCAATTTTTATTAAATGTGTGGAAGCGACACTACTCTCAGTGGAGCTAGGATTTACTTAGTGGAGACTGGTCTTAATATTGTCAACAAGTGAACAAACCTTGAGTTACATTGGGATCCCCAGCCGTTTTATGACTTGCTTGCAGGAACTCAATTGATATTTTGTGTTACTTTTCTGAAGCCTGTATGAATTGAGTGGGGTTTTGGTGGGACCATGCCCTTTTTCCCTCTCTTTCTTTTAAGAAGCGTGGGAAACCTTGTGGAGACATCCCTTCATGGCTACTACTCAGGGAGGGTAGTTTCTCCCCAACAAGAAAACTTTACATCCAAAAGACCATTAATTTTAAACATAGTTCCTGTGATGTTCTCTTCTTTTTCTTTGAGATAACCTTAGGAGGAAGAAAAGAGAATCATGGTTTGATGCTGATAAAGAGAAAAGAAGTCCCCCTTCCCCAAGGGGAGAATAATACAATACAAATGGATCTATGGAGTATGCCAACCATTATAATACATAAAACATTATCAGGTGTATTTTCAGAGGGGGTTGACAGAGATGCTTTGTATGAGTCCGTATCTGCTGGAATTAGCCATTGGTGTACTAGCAGTTCTTGTTTCCAGTGGATTTGGATTCACCTTATATTGGATTTGGAATTACTAGGGTATTCGTCAAAGAATGTATTTTTGTACTTGGTCAGTCTTCCTTATGGTTGTATTTTCTGTTCTCTTGGTCCCCCATCATGTACATAAAGAAAGAAGGTCCTTTGTACTTGTGATTGTTCTTTCTTAACAAAATGCTCTGGTGCTAACAATAAAATGAAGACTATATGTAAACTATTTAAGATGACCAAGTGTATGAGTATCCCATCCCAGAAAAAAATCAGCAAATTTTCTGCTTAAGAGTGAGAGACCAAGTGAATGAAAGGACAGAAGAACACTGACATTCCTAACCACTTTGGTGAAAAAAAACTTTCATCCTCAAGAGTTGGGCATTTCTCTTTTACTATTTCTACAAACACAAAACAATTCCACACAAAACCTCTTCAATTTCCAATCTTTGTTGAGAAAAGATAACTGAAATTCATTAGAAAAGAAACAGTACATGAGATGGTGTATAACAGAGAAATAAAAAACAAGGTAGCTTCACACTCAGGTAGAAAGCTATCAATATACCAGAAACCCATGAGGACGCCAGATTTAGCTAGATCATCAGTTATTGTATTTTAGTTTTCTAGATATCCAATGTAGGCTATAACCACAGAATTTAGGATATCTCTCTAGCCTTGGCCAAGTAGTGAGCTAATCACCAAGGGCCACCCTCCTCTCCTAACCACTTGATAGTATTTTCAAGTCTCCTTCAATGGTTGGATTCGGAATACCCAAGTCTCTAGCCATGCGGATACTAGTGAGTTCAGCCTTAATTTCTGCCTTGTCCCAACTGGTCTGCTAAGTGCCCAACAATATCATCCCTCCTTCTGATCACTCCTTGAATTCCAGCTTCACCTAGATTACTAGAAGCACTTCCATCAAAGTTTAGAGTCATCGCTCATTTCTCTCTTGTACTTGGGCCTCATGGGAGGATCAGGGGTAGGATTGGCAATGGGGCAGGTTCAGGGCGAGGACCATATTCCCCATCTGCGACCCTGGCTTTGAAACAAATCCCTGTTCCCAACCCTGATCCCTGCTGGGGATAAAAATGACCCTCCATCCCTGACCCCTGATGAAGATGAGTTCCCTGTTAGGGACCCAAATCCCCAAATTTTTTAAAGTAAAATTATTTAAAAAAATAGATTTACCTAAAATAAGGGAAAATTTTAAAATATAAAATTATTTTAAATACATTTTGATATAAATAATATAAACAATATTATGTATGTATATATTTAAAATATATATAATCGGGGTTGGGGTGGGGAGGGGAATTCACCCCCCATCCCCATCCCCATCCCCAGTCGTATATCACTATTAATCCCCATCCCCACCCCTATCTCTGCCAAGGCAATCTCCACCTCCGACTCAATGGGGTCGGGGAAAGGGGGTACCTGATGGGGACAGGGAAAATTGCTATTCCTAATCAGGGGATTGGGAGAGGAGAATAATAAATAGGTATTTGGAACCAATGACATTTCTCAGACCACGCCTTGGAAGGTATGGCCTGAGAAAGCGCCCTTTTTATGTTTTCTAGTTTTTCTGCTGCTGCTAGCAATAGTATGCTGATGTGGCATAGCAAAACACCTATGTGGCAGCAATTGTCCCAAAAAAGATCCGTTTTCTGAGAAAATGGCATACCTATGCAGCACCGTTTCCTCAGAAAATGGCTTTGGATAAACAGCACTGTTTTCTGAACACCACCTAAGTTAACCATGTTCTTTTGAAGGTCACTTACAGAGATACCTTCTAAGAGCTCAGAACTGGACAGCTGGTGACCCACAGAAAACGTCTGAGTTATGTGAGAAATCAAGTCCTCCTGAGATCAGGCCTTGTTTTTTTTTTTTTTTTGAAATGCTCTAAACGAACTCTTGATTCATTCTCTAAAGCTCAACCAAATAAATAATTGGGCAGACTCCAATCCAATTTTGAAGGAGAATCAAAAGCGTACTAGTGTAAATTCAAAATTTGCATTGAAATGGAGATAGACCTAAGACAAAAAAATCACTTTAAGAGAATAAGAGGGGAATATTCTCATGTCCGTGGCCTCAGCGCAACCTCCTAGCTTCCCTTTCGGATTTGAGCAAGGTGAGGATATCACCCTCCCTGACAGGCCCCTTGACGTTCCTCATGATAAGCCTGTTCCGGTCATCAATTAACTTGACTCTAACCTGAGTCACCTGCTCCCTTGACCCTGTTCGTCCCATTACCTTCACCACGATGGCAAGTTTCACCTAAGAATCCATCCTGAGTTGAGATCGCAGAGCGCGAGTGAGAGAAGAAAGAAGACGTTGAAGCCGCTTTCTCGCAACTCGCACTCCTTGTTATCAATGATGCGATCATTTCTCTCTCCCAAACAATCCACATCACAACTGTTTGCCAAAAAAATCCATAATTTCCTATCCCTCCTTCCCCCCCCCCCCCAAAAAAAAAAAAAAAAAAAAAAAACTGTCTGCCAGCCCATCATGGTGGAGGGGGACGTAGTTGTGAGCTGCCTTAGGAACAATGTTGTGGGAATTTGGAAATACAGATATATGTTGATGGAGTTCAAATTATTGGCAGAAGAGCTGGATGTAACTTTCCATTTGGACTCCTAGATGTGCTAATAGCATGTCTGATGCCTTTGCCAGACAGAATTATATAAAATGCACCTGCATTTGGGAGTGGTTCCACGGGGAACCTGATGTAAAAGAATTATTTTGTGGCATAGATAGTGAATAATAGCCTACAATACAGCAGCTTATATTGTATTATTGTAAATCATTATTTTAATGAATCAATAAATGCTTTAATTGTCACTGATCAACAAAAAACTGCTACACTTTGGGAGTACAAAATTGTTAGCAAGGTTCAGTTTGGAAGGAGTACAAATACAAATATGTACAGTGCAAATACATACAACATACAAGGTATTGCACTTTACATATTTGTATTTGTACTCCTTCCAATCTGAGACCAAGGAAAGTGTAAAATCACCCCTATGTGACCAGCAAATTACTATGGGTAAGTAGATACACTATTTCATGTTTGATTCCCAAACCAAAATTTGTTAACCATCCTTAATTTTCTTGACATCAGGGGGTCTATCATCAGTATTTATTCAATATTGTCATCCAACTCCCCCAATCAGTCAGACCACTTCTGATCTTTGAATGAACACCTGCTAATCTGCAAGAAACTCTGAACAATCGTTCAAAATTGCTCCTCTATGGGAAGCCAATCTGTGAAAATCATGGCATAAACTTGAATACTCCTACATGACCTTCTAAAGTTTAATCTTGTTAGTCCATTACTATTTCAATTCCAGAAAGAGTGTTCTTGTTGAAGTCATCAGACACATTTGAATCCTGCTCTAAGGACAGACTCCATAATGCCTAACCTCTTACTATCCCCTCCTAAGATGTTTTGTCCATGTAATCACCTTGAACTAAAGTATTCTTTCCACTTCCTAAAATCTCTATAGCTATTTTTTGGAGAAAGAACAAGAGTCCAATCCTCTAGATAACTCATCTATTCTTCAGATTATTATCATAAAATCTCCTGCTTAAGATTCTAACTTTTTGAGTGATTGTGGCTGGAATTGAGATGCTCAGCTCCATCACTATTTTGTGAATTTGTGATATTAAAGAGATATTCAAGAAATTTGGAATTCTGGTTTTTATCTTATTTTTTAGTACTTTATTAGTATATTTTGTTAAATGATTATCTAGTTTAACTGGAAGTCATATGGGGTTTAAGAAATTCT